ATCCGCGCCGTCCGAAGCGCTAAGGAAAACGTGACCCTACCACGATGACATAACCGCAGAGGGCAAATCCGTGCCTCCCGAAGCACTCAGCACCCTAAACCTAACCCTAAACCTAACCCTAAACCTAACCCTAACCCTTACCTTAATTTAAATCGGCTTTCTGCCGCCGCGCTGTTTTAAAGCGCCCTTCTGTCGCCGCGCTGTTGCGGCGGTGATGACGTCGTGGCTTTAGCGATGCGGTTTTATCACCACTATTTTGACGAGCGCGGTTTTGTCGGGCCACGCTGCTGCTTCCCACTCGATGGATCTTCAGAAGACAACATGCCATCAATAGCTGGATATTTTGAGATCTTTTTCTCACCTGTCTTTCAAGTTTAACTTTTACGCTTGGTTTTGTAAACGGGAGAGGGAAAAAAATATGAGTCACTCCCCCCCCCCCCCCCAAGTAAGAGCCAACTGGAAAAGCAGCCCCTGGCATGATTTTTCGGGATGCTCTTAATATAAGCCCTACCCCATAAATAAGCCCCAGGTAAGATAGTCAGCCAGATGGCTGCATTTAAGTACCTTGTTTCTCCAAAAATAAGACGTACCGTATTTTTTGGACTATAAGACATACCGGATTATAAAATGCACCAAGATTTTGAAGAGGTAATTTAAAAAAAAAAGTTTGTGCCCTTCTTCCCAGCTCCCACTCTGCAGGCCTCCCAAACCTTCTACACACCCCGTTTTTTGTGAAAAGCTGGATGCGCTGGGCAGGGTTTGGGGAGGCTAAAAATGCTGTATTCAGAGTATAAGAAGCACCCAGATTTTCACCCTCTTTTTTGCGGGGGGGGGGGAGATGCGTCTTATACTCCGAAAAATACAGTAACTGGAAAATAACCCCTAATAATGCATCTTTTGGAGCGAAAATTAATATATGACCCGGTCTTATTTTCAGGGAAACACAGTATTAAAATATTCCAGGTTAAAAGAAAATGGCAGGGGTGCCATTTATGGGACACTTAACAGGTCTTTAGTATGTAAGATAGAGGAACTACATATATCTGGTTAAACTACAATGGTTTTTTTTTTCTCTTTTGACTGGTATGGTGTGCCAGCGTGGGCCTGGGTTCAATCAACTGTGTGGCTTAGCATGACATGCAAAAACTAAGGTTTATGTGTTTGTCTTTCTCAAAAAAAATCTCAAAAACTTTGGACAGTGGCAAAATCTGCATTATTCTACCAATGATTTAATTAATGGTTGCGTCTGATTTTGGCCAGCATAGCAACTAGGAGCGTAGTACAGATAGCCCTCAACTTAACATTCATTTAGTGACGGTTCGAAGGTGCAACTGCACTGGAAAAAAGTGAGTCACCACCATTCTTCGCACTTACGACCGTCACAGCATCTCCATAGTCCTGCGATTTGCATCCTGATGCTTGGCAACCGTCTCACATTTACGACAGTTGCAGAGTCTCGGGTCAGAGGATCCCCTTTTGCGACCTTCTGACAATCAAACCCAGTAGAGAAATCCAGATTCACTTAACAACCCTGTGACTAATTTAACGACGGCTGTGATTCACAACAGCTGTGGCAAGGAAGGTCGTTAAGATGGGGCAAAACTCATTTAACAAATTTCACAATCGGCAACATCAATCTGAGGGTTCAATTGTGGTCGTTAAGACGAGGAATACCTATACATGCTGGTTGCCAAGCGCCCCAATTCTGATCATGTGACCATGGAGAAGCGATGATGGTTATTACATTATTACATTACTTTTTTTTCAGCGACGTCATAACTTCTCACTTGCTAAACAAACGGTTGTAAGTCGAGGACGATCGGTTCTTTGCCTTTTTCTACTCTAACCTTAGCACTTTTCAAACAGCCGAAAACCGCAAACCGAGCTCGCCATTCCGAAATGCAAATTATTTGAGTGTTAAACCCATTCATGGCCCATCGGCTGCTTCCCTGCTCCTCAAAATCCAGAGAGCCTTTGTAACATCTGCGCATTCTGCGAAAAATAAGTTTATGGCTACAAACAGCAGAACCACTCCATGCATTTCCTTTGAGATCAGGCCAAACAGAAGCTAAAATGATTTAATTACTCTCTCCTCCTTTTCATTTTAAAGAAAATTGCTGCACTAAAGGCTTGCAGAGTATAAGACGCACCATTTCCCCTCAAAAAAAGAGGCTGAAAATCTGGGTGCGTCTTATAGACACTGAATACAGCATCTTTGGCAGCCTGAAACCTCGCCCCCTTTGCAAAAATAGCCGTGCAGAGCCTTTAGGAGGCTTCCAGAGTGCTCCTGGGGGCTGGGGAGGGCAAAAGTGAATGGAAAAACAGGCCGTTTTTTGCTCGTTTTTGCCCGCCCCCAGGAACACTCTATAAGCCTCTTAAAGGCTATGCGTGCTCCCCCTTTGACAAAAAAATGGGCCGTTTTTGGGAGGTCTGCAGAATGCAAAAACTTTTTATTATTTGTCTCTTCAAAATCTTGGTGCATCTTATAGTACGAAAAATACGGCATTCTGTTACCTAACTGTTATTGCATGGGGGGGAAAAAGGCCACGGTAAGGAGAATCCACTGGGCTTCCTTGTGTTTTGACACCCTTGCTGTAAAGTCTCTCTGTCTACTGACGAGCTCTTTCGCCCAATCTATCCTTTAAAATTGGGCTCCACCCCTGCTGAAGAGTTTCCTCCCAGATGTTTTTTTCGTCCCAAAAGAAAAAAAGGACCTCTGGAAATTCTCATCCTTTAATGAATGGTCAGTGATATCGTTGAGCTGGTTTCTGTAGAATACAATTAAACAAGAGACTTAAGGGTTGTTGTTTCCCCCCACCACCCCCAAGGGTGAGTGGGGTGGTGGAGGATGGGTGGAGGAACCAACATCGACCCACCAACCCCGTGCATTGTTTTCCTTGCCCCGAGATCCCACGACTGTTGTCTTCATTGCTCGTCCGTCGCAGGTCTGGGGCATTAAAAAAAAAACATAACAGGAATCCCTTGATGTGTGACGTGTGATTGTTTCTCCCCCCCCAAAAAAAAATAATAATAACCAAAGCAACAATAATAATAATAATAATAATCGGGTAAACCGAAAGAAAACGGATTTCCAGGCACCACTTCAAGAGGAAAAAAAAAATAGTCGAATTGTTCCTGTAGGAGAGTCCTTAATACACCTTTAGCGCTGGGTTTCTCTCCCCTCCACCCCGCCCCTTCCCGCCGTCCTCGGCCGCAATCATACGGCGTAGAGTTCGTACACCTTCTTTACACAGTACGCCAGGGCCGCCAGGGCTATCGTGTTGTGGAGTCTCTTCCTGTGGAGATCGTCCTTCCTCACTAGCACCACCGGGGTGGAGGTGGTCAGCGTGTGTAAGGGCAGGCGAGAGAGTTTGTAGGCGTTGTACTCCACCTGGTACTTGCAGCAGGGGTCGAACTGCCAGGAGATGCCGTAGAGGGTGCAGCAGGCCACGCTGAGCACGCCAGCCGGCAGAGAGATGTAGTGGGAATAATCCAGGGGGAAAGCCAGAGGGGTGAAGAGGCAGGCCGTGCCCGCCAGCACCGCCGTTTTGTGCAGGCAGTTCCCCACCGTGATCCAACGGGCCGTCTCGTCCCCGATGCGGGTGGGCTCGATCACGATGTACTTGTACTGCGCCTCCAGGGCTTGCTCCAGCTCGTATTCGAACTGGTCCTGCGCGTTCTCCCCGTTGTAGATTTCGTGGACAATGTAACAGTCCGTGGCGGATAAGGAGACCCTGTGGGAAGGGAGAGGAGAGGGTTACTCAGAGGGGGTTGGAGGGAGAGGCCTCCCGCCTGTCCCTGTGCCCTCTCGATCGAGGGCCTCTGGGAGCCCATCTCTGGCACCCTAACAGTAGCTGTTTTTTTGCCATTTCTGCCCACTCTGTCATCTTCGTCATCCGCTCTTCTGTTGTGGGAAACATACAGAAGAACACGGACAGAGGTGGGTTCCTACCAGTTCGCACCTATTCAGTAGAACCGGTGCGTCAGATCTACTGAACCAGTTAGAAGAGGTTCCACCAGGGGACCCGGAAAGCAGGCCACCCCTACAGAGGACGTTCCAAAAAATTTTGAAACACACCACTGGTGGCTGTGTAATGTCCCGCAGTTATCTACGCATTAATAATGA